ATTTTCTTCTTTCTCCCTCTCTAGACTTAAACCCAACCCAAGTGGGTTCAAACCATAGGTTAAGTGGTCCGAACCACTTAGACCCTAATCCAATTTTATCGAACCATATTAAGATTAGTCCGAACCATTTGGTTCGGATTGCACCAAATTCAGTATTTATATAGTATAGATGCATTTTTAGTCAGAGAGAGTATTACACGGAGGAGGTTCACCGTATCCACGAGTTTGTAGTGCTGCTACTGGTGGATGTAGACTGTTGTATCCTGGGAGATAGACGTCACTGAGTCCGTTAGCACCATAGCGGGGCGAATCTGTCTTAAGGACATAGTATCCAATACTAACCTCGGTCTAGGTTCTTTATTTATTATTATTATTTTATTAATTTATCTTGCATATTTAATTAAATTTAGAGTTGCATATTTAATTAATGATTTCTTAGCATATTGTTAATTATCTCATGACATACTAGTATAAGGTTTGTTATATCTTAAATGTCACATGAAGCATAAATTTTAACCAACGGACATTTGGATAGGCCTTGGCATGTTCTCTAACATAGATTAAATTGAGGGCATTTGGAATTGTTTAAAAATCTAGAGGAAATTAATTAATTAGCTTGATTAATTTTGTTTTTAAGTGCTTTAATCACTTAAATTGTCATTTGATGTTATATATGTGATGACCATGACATGTCCTTCAATATAGATTAAATTGAGGTTATTTGGGATTAACTTGGAATTTAGAGAATTTAACTATTTATGTCTAATTAAATTCTATTTTATTACTCCATGGATTTAATTGCATTTTGGAAGTTGTTTTTATATTTAAATCATGGATTTGGATTTGGTGTATGTTCACTTGATTACTTTTGAGTATTGGATAACATAGTTGTTACTTTTATATTCATGTTTTCCTTATTGAATATATTGTTGCTATGTGTAAGGAATTGCACACTTTGTATTTGACATCTTTCATGCCATAATAGTTGTAGGCTTTGAGCATGTATTGTATAAGTTTCCAAAATTGGATTGTGCTTGGTAAATAGTTGATATCTTGTACATACATGTTGATATATATATACGTTGTTGTACAATTTGTTGATTTTGGAAACTTGGGGATGTCGTTGTTTGGCTACGGCTAGGACTTGGTTCTAGTACGGGGGATTGTCCCTCTATATAGTCTAGTGCGCACATTGGGAAGTTACCCATGGACTAGTAACCCTAAAGTAACTATGTTGTCGGTCTGATCCGGCGTGACGTCCGAGTATCCACTTTGTTTGATTTTGTATTTCATTTCAAGTTGATAACTAGATGATATCGTAACTTATGGTTCCTTATTTGATTTCCTATTTTGAGCTTAAGATGTAACTTTGTGAAAGCATGCTTTGTGCGTTGTATTGGAAGTTCCATTGTTGGTTAAATTTAATTGATATCATAAATTGTATTTTGATGTTCAAATGTAGTTTAGGAATAATCCTATAGATTCATTTTGAACATAGACGTTAGGTGGCATGACCCACCCTTGTTGTTTTCATATTTTGGATTTCAAGTTGAAGACTTTGACAATCTATATCTAGTTGCTTTGTATAACATGTTTCCATGTTGTTTGAATTGCATGAACAGTGTGACTATGCTAGAAATGATATAGGTAGCTTAGGATGATCCCTGAGTCTCACTTGACATAGACGTTAGGTGGCATGAGCCCCTTTAACATGTTTCACCCTAAGGTGATAAAACTGTAAAACGCTAGGTTGATGCATGCTCATCTCCTACGAGTAGCTTTATGTTACTCACCCCTACGTTACTAGGTATATTTCAGGTACAGGACTCAAGACTTGAAGATTTCATTGCCTTGGATCGTTTGGTAGCTTTATGTATCAAACTTGTATTCTTTGATTCTACGTATGTAAAGTGTACATAAGTACACTCCTTTTAATGCATTTGACATGTAGGACATGAGACCAAGGGCCAAGTAAGTTTATATTTGCACTTGTATTCAATTGGTGCCATATTTTACTTGAAAATGTGTTTTTATCAACTATGGAGGCTTTGTATGCTAAAACTTGTTAATGGAATGTAAAGAGGCTTTAGGCCATGTTGATACATCTATTTTATCATATTGCATGCACTTGCATACTCACTTTGGCAAACAACACCATCCTTGATGAAACAAAAACTCTAAGTAGCATTTTTAGGGAGTTTTACCCTAATCTGTTCCAAGGGCATTTCAGGTATTTCACAATGCATTTTTTTCATTTTTCCTCGTTTGTCATGTAGAAAACTCAATTTTGAGGGGGGTTTCTTCTTTTTATTTTCCCAGAAAATGCCATCTTGGCCCTCAAAAATCTATATTTTTCCGAAAAATCCTTGCTGCCAGGTTTTGCAGATTTTTAGTGCAAATGTACTTGGTACTATTCATCGATTTTTTTTTGAAAAGTGTGACGACCGATCCGAAACTTCCGGGGGTCTTGTAAGTGTATTTTAAGATTACATTTTCAATTTAGGCAATTTAAAAACCTCCCGAAGCCCTATTTCCTTTCTTTGGGCAGTAGCTCGGAGAAATTTTTACCCCCTTAACCAGATTTTCTTGGGGGCATTCTGGGAATTTTACAATGTATTTTTTTTGTTTCCCTCCATGATCGGGGTAGGAAACTTGATTTTAGGGGGGGTTTCTTCTTTAAGTTTTTCCAGAAAAGTCCGTTTAGATACCCGTTTTTTCTCTCAGTTGCAGCAGTAGTGGGTTGACGGCACTGTAGCTGTCACGGCCTTCGTCGGGCCGCCGCGACGTCGATTTTGTTTTTGACCTTTCTCCCTCATCCGGACTCCAAATCAAGTGAATTTTTTTTTTAAAATTGATTAATTTTTCATTGTCTATCCAACAGTGTGCTTAGTTGCACTCAAATATTTCTGGATAATTACCAGTTTACCCCTTTTAGCTTTATTGCTTGTTTTTCTTTGTTTTGTCGTTTCTCCTTCGTCTGGAATCCGAATAATAAAATTATTGAGTCCATCATGATTAGTTTTTCATTGTCTTCCCAGTGGTGTGCTTGATAGCACTTGAATCCACTTTTTGCAAAATTATTATTTTGCCCCTAGGTTCCTTTTTGTCCGTTTTTTAAACGACACTTCCGCATTTGTTTTCCTTTGGGTTCCATGACCTCATTGAGGGTCACATTGGTGTCTTAGATAGGCATTGTATCTCTAAAGACCGTTGTTTCACCTTTCGCTTCCGCATTTCGGATCCGTTATCGAGTCATCTTTTGGGCATCACTGACGCACCGGGTTTACAAAACTTGGGCCGTCACACTTCCACTGGTATGGTATTGGAATTTATTGAGCCCACAACAACAGAAATGGGTTCCATAGTTGACCCACCAAAAGAAGTTGAAGAGGAAGGACATTCAGCATGGAAGGGCTGTTAGCTGGGAGATTTGCCCTTAAGAAACCTTCATTTAGCTTTGTTCAGAAGATAGCCTCCAAACTTTGGTCGAACAAAGGTCTGCAGCATGTTTTTGCTGATGAAAGAGGTAATTTCTACTTCAAATTTGATAATGAGTGCTCTGCCAACACCATTCTTGCATTTGGTCCCAACCACTTTGCTAGGAGGACCCTTCTGCTATAGAAATGGAATCCAAACCTACCATAAAGAATTGATAATGGTCAGTTGGTTCATGTGTAGGTTAAGATTTTCAACATACTAATTCAATTCTGGACAGCAAAGGGACTTAGCATGTTGCAAGTACCTTGGGCAGGCCATTGCATGCTGATCAAGCTACACAGGGGAGACACAAACTGAGATATGCAAGGATTTACATCGAAATTGATCTCAATGCACCTCTGGTCTACTCTTTCCCACTGAGGAAGAGTGAATGGAAAATGGTTGACATTATTGTGGAGTACCAAAGGCTGCCATACTACTGTATAGCATGTAAGAAGGCTGGACACAACTCTTCCCATTGCCCTGATGCCTCTACATCTCAGTCCAAATGGCAAATGGTTCCATCCCGAAGCATAAGATCTGCTAAAGGTATGAGGGAGGAACCTCATACCATTCCCACAGCTTGCTCACCTCAATCACCCTTAACTATACCTCAATCACCTTTAACTATCCCCAACCAATTAGCCTCTCCCCACAGCACCAGATGGTCCCACATACATCCCCTCCCACTCACAGTCAAACTTTAATCCCTTCACATATCTCCCCTCTATCACCTGATAAACAAACCATTACCAACCCACCTACCCTCCCTTCCTCCCCAAAAACAGTTTTCAGTAACCCTTCTAATATCTCAAACTCACATTCAAAAAGGCTATCACTCCTGTAAACCAAGCACTTAGCCAGAACAATCCCTAACTCAGTATAACACTACAGATCATGAAGCTTGTTTTATATCCTATGCTGAACACATTCTTCCATCTTACATAGATAAGGTGCATAACCAAGAGGATCTCACCTATGAGAATGCTGAGGACAATGTTAGCACTGAACATTCTATCCTTATGTTATTATCTTCATAAAGTCAATCCAGTTCAGCCACTTTAAAGGACAAAAGGTCCATGCTGAAGAAGAAGAAGGGTAGTAGCACCCTATATATGCCAATCTTTCCCCACAAAAGGCTTGGGTTGCTGGGAGGTAAGCACAAAACTCCCTCTCGATGATCAGTTTTTGTGGATGGAATACTAGAGGCTTTAATAGCCTCTTTATGCAACTTCAACTGCGAGATTTAATCCTTTCAAATAAGCTAGTTATGGTGTCACTATTGGAAACTAAGGTGGCTTAGGAAAATTTGGGAAATATACACAAATATATTTGCCTTAGATGGTCAGTTTTACACAACTATGATTTCTCTATTTTGGGGAGAATATGGGTCATCTAGAACCCTGATGTGCTCAAGGTTGAGCTGATTAAAGCTACTAGATAGATTATGCATTGCTTAGTGACCTACTTACCTGGCAACTCTCAATTATATATTTCTTTTTGTCTATGTGGCTAATGAACATATGGATAGGAGGGGTCTATGGGAAAGTATTAATGAGCAATCAAGTAATTTAGCCAATTCTCCATGGATTGTGCTTGGTGATTTTAACACTATTTACTCTCCCCTTGAAAACTTTGGTGCATCACAAAGATGGATAGCTGCTATTATGGAGTTTTGGGACTGCCTTAATCAATCACAACTGGAGGAGTTAAGGTCTACAGGGATTCAATTCTCTTGGAACAATATGAGTGTAGGTCATGCTAACATAGCTAAAAGGCCGGACAAGGCTGTAATTAATGAGCAGTGGACTCTCACTTATCATATATCTAACTGCACCTTTCTCACCCCAGGCCTCTTAGACCATAACTCCCTCCTAATCAAAATGGGTGCTCCTACTAGTCCCAAGAAACTTCCTTTCAAGTACTTTAATGCTTGGGCTACTAATCCTCTATTTCTTCCCACAGTAGAACAGGTCTGGGCTACCCCCATTTCAAGAACATCTATGTTTCAGCTCACCCAGAAGTTAAAATTACTCAAAAGAGCTCTTAAGCTTAATTGCATGATGGAAATCTCTCAAGTTTCAACATTAGTCACTCAGGCAAAACAATCTTTGGCTTCATGTCAGACCTTGCTTTACTCTAATCCTAGAGATATTCAGTTGAGATTACAAGAAAAGGAACTTATGTAACAGTTTTTAAAATTTGCTCTAGCTGAAGAGCACTTCCTTAAGCAGAAGGCTAAGGTGAAATGGCTAAAAGAATGAGATAACAACACTTCTTTTTTCTTCCAACTCTACAACTTAAGGCTCAACAAGAAGAAGATTACTTGTCTTACATCAGTAAATGGAGACTCGATTGATACTGAGGACCTTGTAAGGGATGAGGTTGTTGCTCATTACCATAACCTACTTAAGAGCTCACCACCTCAATACCTTGGAAGAGAAGCATTTCAGCTTTTTATTACCAAAACAATTCCAACCACCCTAATCCCTGCACTTTGTGATATCCCTTTTGACTTAGAGATCCAGTCATGTTTGTTCTCACTCAGCAAGGAAAAAGCCTCTGGGCTAGATGGTTTTAATGCCCACTTCTTCCACATGGTGTGGCTTGTGATTGGCACTGATGTGACCAAAGCCATTAGAGACTTATTTGTCACTAGCGAGTTACTAAGAGAGGTCAATAATGCCTATATTGTTTTAGTACCAAAGTCCCAAAATCCTTCATACCTTAATCATTTTCGACCAATTTCATGTTATAACACTATATATAAATGTATCACCAAGCTTTTGGCCAGTAAACTCAAGAAAACCCTTCCATCCATCATTAATCCCTGCCAAAATGCATTTAGTAAGGGTAGGCGTATTGGAGATAGTGTTTTATTGGTACAGGAGCTTCTCCAAGGCTATCATAGACATCTTTCACCACCTAAGTATGCTATGAAGGTGGACCTCATGAAAGCTTTTGACTCAGTGGGTTGGGAATTTTTATTGGATACTCTTGATCTCTTTGGATTCCCTCTTTCATTTATTAGTTGCATCAAAGCTTGTATTACTTCACCATCATTCATTGTCTCCCTTAATGGCGATTTCCATGGGCACTTTAGAGGGGTAAAAGGACTAAGGCAAGGCAACCTATATCACCTCTACTTTTTGTAATAGCAATGGAAATCTTCTCAGCCATTATAAAGAAGTTTACTTCTGATTCCACAATCTTCATGGCGGTAGCCATTCGTATACGCCAAAATAATATAGTGAATGCACGGTTCAAGAAAAGCCTTTTGGGTTAAGTTTAAATTTATAAAAACCACTACTACCACTACTACTAACGTAGCAAGGGTGAGTAGGGATCGTCCCAAGGGATTGGAGGGCTACTAGTAATGAAAACAATGTTTAGGGTTAGTAGGTCGAGTGATCAAAGGTAGGTTGTTTGGTTGATTATACTACAATTAAGATTCAACAAGATCAATATAAAATAAGTAATTAAAGAATAGAGAAAACAAGATAGAGAGGTCTTGGGACTTAGAGATCACCACTAAGCATCACTTTTCTATACACTTAAGTCATAATTAATGAGGGGAAAAACGTATGTTGCAATAATAGTAAGTGTGTGTGGTTTTTTCAACAAGCATGGATGACCAATTAAGTGTATATTTTCTAAACAACATAATGAATAGCACAATATATCAAACTAAGTCATTAATCCTTCCTTTAAGCTCACAATCCAAACACATCACATAATTAGAGAAATATACTACTTGCATTCATAAGTATGGAACATCAAACAACAAGCATGGATTGTCCTCACGTTTAACAACTAAGGTAACTATACTACATCTAAGCTAATGACATGAAAATAAAACTAATTAAACTAAGGGAGAGGCACAATCCATCAAGAAATGAGTATGAACCATCAAATAAACCACAAGAGCGTTCTATTAAGCACTATGTCTTGACAATCTCTAGATCTATAGCATCAACACACATAGACATACATCAACAACACAAGAGATAGAGATAAACACTTGAACATCTATTTTAACATACATAGACATATGGATAGAATGAAATGATCAATTGGAAGAATTAAACCACACAAATCATTGAATAAACAAGATCTATGTATATAAAAATGTCAAAACATGTATTACAACACAAATCCCCTCAAAAATACATAAATCACGGTAAATAAAGCATGTTTAGGGCTAACTCTAGCCCCAAGAGGATGTCTAGCCACTCATGAATGGTGTCCTCTAACCCTCAAGGGATATCTCTATGGTATAAATGCTCTTTTTCTTGAAGTAGATGGAAGACCTCCCAAGAATGTGTCTCTAGCCTCCTCTTCTTTTTTCTTCCTCTCTAAGAATAATAAAAAATTGTATCTATCAACTCCTAAAAATATATATATATAAAAGTGCCTCATAATCCTTATATAGGTAGCTCAAATGTCACACCCAATGGTCTAGGCTCGTACACAAGGGCTCCTCCAATGATTGCACAATGAGACAACTCTTAATGAGCTGGAAATTAATTTAATTCACACTTGAGAGGGTTCGATTGATCGAACCTATGCTGAGATCGATCGAACTTGGCTGAGGTCTATCAAACTTTGGCTGGATCAATCCTCCCATGGCTGCGCCTTTTTGGATAAGGACAGATCTGAGATATTTTGGGGAAAGAGACAAAAGTGGTAGGTAAGGTGGTACAACAGGATAAGATGGAATCTTTTTGATCGATCTGAGAATTGTTGGATTGATCGAACTTTGTGGGATCTTTGGATAAGGATAAAAGAGCTTGGATCCGTCTTGGAGAGTCTAGATCGATGAACTTTCGATCGATCGGAGTATTCTTGAGATCGATCGAACATGTTAATTTCCACACTTTGCTTCATTCTGCTTCCACTTTGCTCATTTCTTCTATCTAGCTTGAGTTAGCTTCTTTTAAGCTCTTATTTGGTAGAATTAGCTTATTTTGGGGATAAGCACCTAAAAAGGATAATAACACGAAATTAGTCTAAAATGGGAAAGTAAGATAGATAAAGGTCCTAAAATACCTAAGCTTAAGGAGTTTAAATGTGCACTTTTCAGCGCTCATCACACCCCCAAACTTAAATATTGCTAGTCCCTAGCAATGAACTACAAAGTAAAGGAATGAAATGAACAACTATACAACTATGAATCTAGAAAGCAATAAATAGATAACACCACTTTCGTAGGGAACACGATTGCATTTAGCACATGCAACAAGCCTTTTAAACCCCTAGGTTACCCCTAGTGGACGAAATGATACCCACAAACATTAAGCTCATTCTCACCAAAGAGGTACCAATATTGCAAACAAGTATTGGAAGAAAACTACCTCAAGTATGCAATTTTTCAACTCTTTCCAAGAAATCTCCCAAAATCTCAACATCAAGCAAACAAGTATGGCCCTCCACACATCAAGAAAATAATCATGCAAATCAAAACAACACTAGAATCCTTTTTGAGTGGACCGGCATCAAATGTGTTGCTATCTAAGCCAACTAAAGAAATGATCACATCCTTACCCTCAAACTAGCACACAAATCTAGTTCCGATCATCAAAACAAAGAGTGAACCTTTTATTAAAGCTTTATTAGACTAGGTGCGCTTATTCTTTTCACTCTAAATTTTTTATTTATTTATTTATTTTATTTTATTTTCTATTCCTAAGGAAGTATGGTACAATGTGTTGATCTATTAAGCTTTTTAGTGATCCATGAGGTCAAGCGTTAGGTCAATGACTCCCAAACCGGACGACTTTAGGGCACTAGGTGTTGAAAGACCCCTAAGGACTTATAAGCTCAAATCAACTAGGTTATAAATCAAAACAACCTTCATCTAATCATTTCCACTTTTCACCTTTTGGAAGAAGTCCTCACTTTCTTTTCTTTTTCTTTTTTTTTTCTTTTTTTTTTTTTTTCAATTTTTAACCTAGAGTTTGGGCCCTCCACCTTTCGGCGCGAGAAGTTCAATGCTTGATGAGGCTAAAATCCTGGCTACTCAATGAAAAGGGTTTGTTATCCATTTTTGTCAAAATGAAAGCTTTCAATGCACTACTAGCCCAATTAGGATATAACCAATTCAATAATCAACAAAGCATATACCCCACAAATGAATGCTAGTGTGTGCCTGTGCTAGAGTAGAATCCTAGAGTGAATCTCAAAACAATCACAAAATCAAGATGATGTGGACCACAAATGTAAGCATGATATCAATCTTTCGAAAAATTTACTTCTAAATGGCATCCAAAAAACATACAAGGAGTATTGGACTCTCAAGTCAAGCAATTTTTAAATTTTAAGCAATATAGTCCTCAAAAGATCAAAATCATAACTAGTTATGGACCAATTATAGATAATCCCTCAAATACACAAGTCATGCTTAAAATTTGAATTGAAAGCAAATACTGCAATTAACACCATTATCCCCAAATTTAAATGGCACAATGTCCTCAATGTGCAAAGAAAACAAAGGAAATAATATACTAGTGTAGCTACGGTAAAGAATGGCCGGGACATAAGTATCCAGTAGGTGGTATAATCCCCCCAAACTTGGGATTAACTATAGTCCTGAAAAGATGGCACTTAGATAAAACTCATTAGATAACAAAAGGGATAATAATAGTGCGTAGTAAACATGCAAGTGTAAATGGGACAAGAGTTGAAGTAAAGAGAGAGGAAAAAGGGTGATCTTGAAAATTGGGGCAGCATTTTCTCTCACTGAAGTCACTGGGATACACCTGATGGAGTCAATCACAGACAGATATATCAATTCAAAGATATGACGTCCAAAATATAGTAAATATAGAAAAATAAAAATAATGTACATCGCAATGTCTGGGCCAACAAACTGGCCGTAAAAATAATATAACAGTATCAAAAGAGTAATAATGTATCACAGATATATGAAATGAAGGTATAAAGATAGAGAGATCAGGAATATCATACTGAGGAGGTAAGACAGGCAGGGCGCGCTCCGTAGATATCTCGCAGGGCAGTCATGACATTTGTACGCAGAGATGAAATGTCAGCTCTGCTAAAGACAGTGTTTGCTCGGATGGAGACTATGACATCCTCCAAAGCCTGGATACGCTCTCCAAAACTGGGTGTCTGTGCTGGAGCCTCAGGTACCACTGGATCAGGAAAATAATGTGCATCCTGAGCCTGCTTC